CTGCCTCTTTTGCTCTTTTCTCCAGCAAGGAGCACATTGCATCACTCACAGCTTTCTCACTCTATGTTTCTAGGGAACTCGGTGGGGGGCAGAGATGTAAGAGGGATGACCCATTTGAGACTATTTGGAAAATAAACCCACAATGTCATTCTAATGCTCACTATCTGGAAATTTTACACAATTTTATGGCCTCTAGAAATTAATGCATTGCAGAACATTTTAATTTTTAGCCAGTTTTTAAAGTTTTCTTTTTAAATTATAGAAGCAATATAGTCTCATTGGGAACTCTGGTGGTGTAGCACCCAAAGCATTTGACTGCTAACCAGAAGGCTGGTGGTTCAAATCCACCAGCCACTCCTCGGAAGGAAGACCGGGCAATCTACTTCTGTAGAGATACCACCTCAAAGACCCAAGGAGGGGTTAATATGAGTCAGATTCGACTTGATGGCAGTGAGTTTTATTTATTTATTTTTTGTATAGTCTCATTATATGAGGACTTTATGCTGAGTGAAATAAGTCAATCACAAAAGGATAAATATTATAGGACCTCAGTTAATAAAAAGACAAAAATAGGCAAAGGTATAGAGACCAAAGTTTATTTGCAGTTATTAGGGGCAGGAGGGAGTGGGTTATTGCTTATAGAGTACTAGTTTATGGTGATGGAAAAATCACATTGATTGAGGGTAGAGTTCATACACAATTAATGTAATTGGTGTCAATAAGTTATACATCTGCAAAAAGTTGAGTTATTAAAAGTTGTACAATAGATATATTTACATAAATATAAATTACATAAATTTAAATAACCATATGTGGCCCATGGCTACCATATTGGGTAGTGCAGTTCTGGGCATTTGCTGTACTTATACAGATTTTTGTTTCTACAAATCAGGCATTCTAAACACACTTCTCTGTGACGTGACCTTTTCACTTAAAGAGACACCTGACTGTGCTACTGCAATGGTAATGTCATTTTCTCTAATGTTGCATGGTGTCTTTTGCATGTGTATACTTACGATGACAAAAAAAAAAAAAAAAAGGCGGGTAGCAGCTATGGTTGTTTATGTATGACCAAACACCTCATGGGATTAGGATCTTAAGTTTGGAGGTATAGGATCATAGTTTCAGGAGACATCCTAGTTAACTGGCCTAATAACATGGATAGTGTTTCTGTTCTACCTCTTAGTTCCACAAGTATAGTTCCACAAGTAGTGCCTGTGGTCTCAAAGCTTGCAAACAGACATTTAAAACACACTAATTGTTCTCTATTTGCCTGGAACAACAGAAGAAGGAGAGTCAGGAATAGGAAGAAGGAATGGAATGTGTGCCTAATAGCCTCCATGAACAACTGCCTCCTTTGCCATGAGATCAGAAGAATTGGATGGTGCCTGGCTATCATTAACAAACATTTTGATCAAAGATTCTATAGAAGAATCTTGATTGAAAGGGGGGAAATGCATAACAGAATTTAAAAGACTTATGGAATCCAGCATTTCTGGAGCCATGGAGGCTGGATGAGCCCCTGAAACTAATGTCCTGAGGTAATCTTTAAATATTAAACCAAAAATATCCCCTGGAGTCTTCTTAAAACCAAACAATAGTTTAGCTTAACTAGTAAAGAATGTCTGCTTTGAAACTTGTCCCTTTTTAAGATTAATCTGCATGGGATCAAATTGATAACAGCAATTTGAAAAATTATATAGGGAATTTTAGAGGTAGTGAATTTATGTTAATAGGGGAGGAATAAGTCAGAAAAGAAGAATGAGAATGGTTACACAACTCAAAGAATGTAATCAATGTCACTAAACTGTACATACAGAAACAGTTGAACTGGTACATTCTTTCTTTTTTGTTATGATTTGGGTGAAAGTTTACAGAGCAAATTCATTTTCTATACAACAGATCATACACATTTTTTTTCCCCATGACATTGATTTCAATCCCTATAATGTAGCAGCTCTCTTTCCACTTCCTCCCTGTGGTTACCCTTCCCTGTGTCATTCTTTCTTGTGCGTTCCTGCCCTCTCAACTATTTCCCTGTGCAAATACTGCCCTTCTGATCTCCCATAATTGATTGTTCTAAAGAGTATATCTACCTGATGTAAATGTTCACCTTATATGCCTGTCTATTGTTTGGCTGGAAGCCACAGGATTGAGTTAAATTCCAGGCCCAAAGGGCAACTAAGGGTCACAGTCTTGGGAATTTCACCAATCTCTATCAGACCAGTAAATCTGGTCTTTTTTTCCTTCTTTTTTTTTTTTTTTTTTCTTAATTCTGAGTTTTGTTCCACATTGTTCTCCACTCTATCCAGAATCTCCTGCACTGATCCTTTTGACAGTGGTAGCTGGGCATCATCTAGTGCTTGTGGTCTCATGGTCACGTAGGCTGAGGATCACATGGTCCACTAGTCCCTTGGATTAATTGTTTCCATGAATCTTTGGTTTTCTTCATTCTTTTTTGCTCTGGATGAGGAGAGACCAATTGTTGTATCTAGATGGCCACTTGTAAGCTTTTAAGATCCCAGTCACTGCATACCAAAGTAGGATGTAGAACAATATTTTTGTGTAATATGTTATGCCAATTGAGCTTCTTGTCTCCTGTGACCATGGGCCTGAGCCCACATGTCCAACAACTTGCTACCTCAGGGTGGTGATTGGCTGTGCCTAAGAAGTTACCTTAACTTCAGCCCCCATTAGTTCTATTTATATGGACAGTCTTACAGCACATTCAAATATGTATGTACAAATATTGCCTGCCAAACTTACACATTGTTGTTGTTGTTATTTGCCATCCAGTCAGCCCCGACTCATAGCGACCCCTCCTTGGGTTTCTGAGGCAGTATCACTACGGAAGTAGGAATGCCCAACCTTCCTTCCGAGGATAATCATGGGTTTATTCCTTTTTGCCTAGACATACCTGACCATTCAGCCTGTCTACCTATGTGTCTACCTGCAGGTTAATGTTTGTTATTACTAATAATGCAGTATTGCATATGTAAAAATGCTTATCTTTGTTGCTTGTACCTCTTGTGCACCTCTCTGTGTCTTCCTTTCTGAATTGGTGTATGTTCTTCTGTGTATATTCTCAACAACAACAACAACAAAAATAAATAAATAAATTATAAATACATATTCTCATTATAAAAATTATAATTGTATAGAAGTGTATCAGGTAAGAAATGTAAGTACCCCTCTTCTTTCCCCCATTAATCAACTCAAATTAATTCAGAGAAGTAACCACTTTTTCGCAGTTTGATATATATTCTTCTAGACCAGCTCTAGGAGCTCTGGTAGCGTAGTGCCTAAAGGCACTTGACTGCTAACCAGAAGGCTGGCTGTTCAAACCCACCAGCCACTCGTTGGAAGGAAGATTGGGGAATCTACTTCGGTAGTGATATCGCCTTGGAAACCCAAGAAGGGGTCACTATGAGTTGGATCTGACTCCATGGCAGTGAGTTTGTTTTGGTTTGGTTAATCTTTATAGGTGGATTGGCACAGCGGCTGCAAAAATGGGCTCAAACAGCAATGACTGTGGGGACCAAGCAGCATCTCATTCTGTTGTACATAGGGTCACTATGAGTTGGAACAGACCTGATGCCTCTTCACAATAACAACAACAATAGAAGCAGATTGCTACATATTTCTCCCATGGAGCACGTAATGCCTTTGAACTGCTTTTGACCTTTCTGTTAGCAGCTAAGCACTTAACTTCTGTACCACTAGGGCTCCTTGAATAGCACTTCACACTGCCATCCAGTCGATTATAACTCATAGTGACCCCTCCTTGGGTCACAAATCGCACAATTTCCAAAGGTGAGTCAGAATTTGTTTAAAAATCTTACCCAAAGAGTGTTTTCTTTATGTCTTCTGATGACCCATAGGCCTTCCAAGTAGAAAGAACACTGGGTGTTGGAGACTAGCTACAGTTCTGGTTCCCCCATCAACTAGCTGGGTGACCTTCCACGAGTCACTTAGTCTCTCTGTGCTTCTATTACCACATTGGCAATTCACATGGAAACAACTACCTTACTTCTCTCAGAGGGATGTTGTAAGAACAAGAAGTAATTTTATAAAAGTTTCAATCATTGGGTGGAATCATCTTATTGTAAAGCCCTGTTATTACTTAGTAATTATGACTTCACTTGAATGAGATTCAAGAATTCTCTGAATTCTGCTTCCTAGTGAATACTGTTATGCATCTTCTCTGGACCCTTTCAGCACCCTGTACACATATTTACTGTAGTCCTTGGTTTTAGGATCCGTCAATCTGATTCCAATTTATAATGACCCTACATGATGGAAGGAAGGTTGAGCAATCTACTTCTGTAGAGATAACTCCACGGAAACCCAAGAGGGGTCTCTATGAGTCGAATCAACTGGACAGCAGTGAGTTACGACAGAGTAGAACTGCTTCATAGGGTTTTCTAGGCTGTACACTTTAAGAAAGTCAGGTCTTTCTCCTACAGAGCTACTAGGTGGGTTCAAACTGCCAGCTTCTCTATTTATAGCCAAGTTATTAACTATTGTATCACTGGAACTCCTTTTACTGCAATGCTAGTTGCATTGACTTGAAATTATTGTATCTATCTCCCATATTAGACACCTGTGGCTTATCTCTCTTTTTATCCTTATAGCTTAGTAAAGACGTACTGAATTACATTGAATTGAACACGATCCCAGAATATGTTTATTTAGTGTTTTCGCAAAGATGCTCCATGCAGAAAGTTAAAGTGGTGAGAGCAAGGCTATGTTTGTGGGGAGAGGTCCCAGCTTACCACAGAGAGCCTGATAAAAATCTCTATTGTCAGACACCTACCTCTTCTTCTCAACAGTTGTATTATCACACAGAGAATCATGACACCAACGATGGCTCCTAAGAACAGCCAAGCATATAGTCCCCATGGTTTTGGTTCTGAAAAAGATGTCAAAGGACAGTCTCAAAGTTTGTGAGTTTAAAAACATCCCACACAGAAGTGAGAAGTCTAAGCCTCATGGTTTCTTTCTACATTCTCCTCCAGGAAGCCATTCATTCTCATAGATTTAGAGATAGCTTTAAACTAAGGAAGCTTTCCAAATCTGTTTTCATATCATAATTTCTTTCACCACATTTTATTTTCATATTCCTAATTTTCATAGCATAGTGGCTAAGGCATTTGGTTGCTAACCAGAAGGCTGGCGGTTCAAACCCACCAGCCACTCCTCGGAAGGAAGATGGGGCAATGTTAGTAGTGATACTGCCTCAGCAACCCAAGGAGGGGTTGCTATGAGTCGGGTCCAACTCAACAGCACATAACAACAACAACAACAATTTTCTTAAGAATTTTTCTGTTCAAATGCTGTATTTTCATCTCAAGCATAGGTCGACAATTAAGCTTATCTTCATTTCTTATAAGTCAATGTCTCTGCCTACTTACTCTATTTTTAAATCTTTAGTGTTAAATACCCATTTTGGGAAAAAGAACATGATGGCTTACGTGCTGCCCCAACACCCTACATCATTCTCAAGAGACAACTGGCAGGAAGAAAGATCTACTTTTCCTTTTTAAAAATAAACATAATGGTGCTATTATTGTCCTTTCATGCAAATAACTGTGTTGGACCCATCAGACCTGAACTGAAAGAAAAGCAGATAGTTTTTCCTCTTATCATTTCTATGTTTAATATTAGCTTTAGAATACTAATCACCCAGGCTCAAAGTCAGAGAGCCAACTTGTATTCCTTTCTCTCTGAACAAGAGAAAAACCCTTCTGAACAAGAAGAAGCACTTGGAAAACAGTGAGACCTATTGCCCCAGTAAGCAAGATGTTTAGCTCAAAAAATACTAATAGACAATCACTGAGCACTCACAATGAGCCAGGCACTTTTCTGAATGTATCATATGTACTAATATATTTAATCCTCACAACAATCCTACATGGTAGGTACTCTCATAACTCCCATTTTATGGCTAAGGAAGCAGGCACTGAGGTCATCAAGAGCTATAGTTTGGTCTAGGAGCAGAAGCGGGCTGAATGGTGAAGACAGTTCTTGGATACTTAAGAGAGATTCTTGGGCTCAGAGTAAGTTAACTAGGATAATGATCAGTGGGGGCCCACCTGACGCAGTAGGGTCCTAAGTAACATAAGAGCAATAGAGTTCCAGGAGTGAACATTAATTTGCAAGAGTTGCTTATAAAGATAATTGTGGAATTAGCCTGCTTGTTGTTGAATCTGTGATGGCTCTGTTGAGAAGAAAATGAAAGGAAGGAATAGGTGGGTTACAAAGGAAGAAAGTGGTTGTAGACATGACTCAGATGTTTATAGAGTTGATTGAAAATGCAGGCTGAAGACTCCATGAACTGAAAGTTCCAAGTGGGCCTTTAGCTAATCAGAAGTTGTCTTCTGGGTTTGAAAAGACTCTCTCTTTTCTGTTCTAGGCCTTTCACACATCAGTCATTCTAAGGAATCTTACTAAACTGACTTTTTAAACTCTTTGATCATAGATTCTCTTTCTAAAATTAGTTCTAACCCTGCCATGGGGGCAGTTTTTTTCTCAGTGGTAGAATTCTCACCTTTTTCACCTTCAATTCCTGTCAATACAGTCAATGCACCTTAAGAGCAGCCACCACCTGTCTCTTGGTGTAGGCTTGTACATTGCTATGATGCTGAACAGATTTCCAGACTAAGACAGACTAGGAAGAAAGGCCTGGCAATCTACTTTAAAAAATCAGCCAATGAAAACTCTGTGGTCTGATGCTGTTGTACATGGGGCTATCATGACTTGGGGCAGACTCAATGTCAGCTAACAACAAAACCCTGTCAGAAATCAAACTTCAAAAGAAAAGTATAGTGTCTGATAAAAACTTGGGGGGGGGATGGCAAACAGAGTTCTGAATTTGTATAAGGCATGAAATTTGAGTATGGAATCACTGCTGACATATTGGAATGGTCTCCTGAGCAGTTCCACTCTGAACGGCTTACGGTCATTAAGAACACTTTGTAGGGGCATGAGCATGTGTGTATGAGCTCAAATGTGTGTGTGTATATGTGTGTGTGTGTGTGTGTGTCTAAGAGAGAGATTGATTAACTCTGGCCTTAAATTGCCAGTACCAGGAACACATGGAGGAACCTCCCAAATACTAAGACACTAAGCTGAGCCAGTAGCCAAAGCTCCTGGCTTCATCTGCCCATGGAACCTGCCCAGAAAACTGTTACATCGCACTTACTATTTGAGACTATTTCTTCTTTCTTCTCCCCTCATATGTATTTTGGTGTCTTCTAAACCAACAGCTAATTTAAGAACAAACACTCCAACCATTTACATCATTTCAAAGAGTCATATTTCTTATGAATTTTATTTGAGATAAAAATGAAAACTGACAAGGTGGGACCTTAAAAACTGGAAAATAACAGATCACAAAACTGCATCAGCAATGCCTGCAAAGTCAGCCTTTTCCCACTCCCTGGTGCCTGCTATGGACAGCTCTGCTGCCCACCAACTCACATAAACACAAAATTAACAACGACTGGGGCATTTTACTGAGGCTCAGAGGACATAATGACACCAGTCATATCTTTCTTTTCCAGAGACCCATAAAGATAAAAGGAGTCTCTAGGTGGCACAAACAGTTAAGCTCTTGACCACTAGCTGAAAGCTTGGTGGTCTAACCCACCCAAAGGCATCTGAGAAGAATGGTCTGGCAATCTGCTTCCAAAATGTCATAGCCTTGAAAACCCTATGGAGCAGTTCTGCTCTGCACACACATGGAGTCGCCATGAGTCAGAATTAATAACAACAACAGGAGGATGAACGTAGTCTGCTACTCTTGTCGCATGACATAAATGATCAACTCCTTACCAGTCCAGCCAGATCTGAAGGGCAACTTGGCCACATCCTGAAAGATGTATCTCAAACTCTACTTTTCTTCCTAGTCTTTGGATACAAAGTATTATGAATCTATTGTGGGGCTATTTAAGCTACAGGTTCACAAAGCTGCTGTGCCAATCTCATCTGGCGCTAATTTTGGATTGAGGAAATTAAGACTCAGAAAGGTGAAGTGTACATAGGGTCACAGAGAAAGTCAGTGGCAGAGCTGGGGTGAAGTTGAGGGTGGCAGACTTTTCAGTTTGCATTTTAGCTCTTGGGATGGATTCCTCAGAAGCAAATGAATAGCAGGCTGTGATACCTGGGAGACCTCTGGGTCAAAAGCACTCTGAATTGCCAACCCACCATTTTATTATCTTCCCTCCAACATGTGCCCATTCCCAACCCTGTGCTTTACTACTATATTCTTCTTCCCACTCCACCTTCAGCTTTCCATCCTACTTGCCCATTGAAGCCTAGGTCAAACTTATTCCCTCCATATCAGCATTCTTTTTTTTTTATTTGGGTGAAGATTTACAGAGCAAATTCACTTTCCATACAGCAGTTCACATATACTTTGTCTCATGTCATTGACCACAGTTTACCACAATGCAACATCTCCCCTCCCACTTCCTCCCCATAGTTACCTCTTCCCAGTGTCCATCCCTCCATACTCTCCTGCCCCCTGAGCTGTCTCCCTGTGCATAAGCAGCCCTTCCTTCTCCCATGATTGTTCTCTCCAGGGTGTGTGTCTACTTGAGGTAAATGTTTAACTCACATGCCTATACTTCGTTTGGCTGGAAACCACAGGTGTGGGTTCAATTCCAGACCTGAAGGGTGGCTCAGGGCCATAGTATCAGTGGTTCCACCAGAAAACCTGGTTCCTACCTCTTTTTTTTTTTTTTTGCCTCCAAATGATTTTGAGTTTTGTTCCACATTGTTCTCCCTCTCTATGCAGGATCTCCTACGTCCCTTCCAAGTGGATGACAGTGGTAGCCGGGCATCATCCAGTTCTTCTGGTCTCATAGTTGTATATGTTGCCAATCGGATGGTATAGCAGTCGCTAGGACTGATTGTTTCCATTAATTTGGTTTTCTTCTTTCTTCTTGATGAGGACAGACCCATCGTTGCATCTAGATGGCGGCTTGCTAGCTTTTAAGATCCCAGTCGCTACTCGCCAAAGTAGGAGGTGGAACAATGTTTTGTATAGTATGTTATGCCAATTGAGCTTGATGTCCCCTGTGACTATGGTCCCAAGCCCTCAGGTTCAACTACTCAGTCCCTCTGGGTAGCTGGCTGTAACCAAGCAGTGACCACAACCTTGCCCCTTGTCAGCTCTACTATACACCTGGGAATTCTGATCATTTACATAAACTTATAGGAATAAGTTTGCCAACCCTATATATGATCTTGGATACACTCCCCATTTAGACATATCTAATTGTTTAGCCTGTCCGCCTATCTATCCGTCCATATACCCATGTTTGCCTTCACTGATAACTCAGTACTGTATATGCAAAAGGGTTCATATTTGTTGTCTGTACTTCCCATGTACCTCTCTATGTCTTTCTCATCCTCAATGCTGTCATATTGGTCACTCACCTTTGGTACATTGCCCTTCTCTTCAGCCAAATCAATATTTATTTCTATCTATCTAACAGTGTTCCCTCCCCGCCCCTCCCACCCCTGGTAACCAACAAAGAAATATATCAGCATTCTTGATGATTCCACTTCTCACTCCTCCTTCTCCGTAGGACTCTGAAGCACCTGTGGTATGTGTCATGTATCTTAGAGCCAGATTTTGCCATAACGGTATTTGAAGCCAGGCATATTGATTCAAATTCAGAATTTATCACTTGATAGCCTCAGACAGGGGAGCTCTGGTAGCATAGTGCCTAAGGCACTTGACTGCTAACCAGAAGGCTGATGGTTCAAACCCACCAGTCACTCCTCGGAAGGAAGGTTGGGCAATCCTACTTCTGTAGTGATACTGCCTCGGAAACCCAAGGAGGGGTCACTATGAGTTGGGCCGACTCGATGGCACATAACAACAACAACAACAGCCTCAGA